AGTAAGGCACTTGTTACTAGAAGCGATGCACTTGTTCCTAGTAGCTTATTATCTAGTCTGAAACATGTCTGAAAAGTCAAAGGCTGAAAGGTTTCAAGAAGAAGGAGATGTGACTCTTGGTTCAAGCCGACATGTGAGCTATCCTCAAACCACTTGTGATTCGGGATAAATTGTGAGAGACGCGGATCCTACAAAATTTGGACTTGAACATTCGGAAGAATGTCATTGAACATCAATAGTCAAGTTGCTTTCCCTCAACTATTGACCCACCAAGAAAGCTGCAGAAGGCATCGTTGACCGCTTCCTAGGACCCAAAAACGCCGTAGAACAAAAACATTGCCAAATGATCCTAGCAGCGTCCTTGCTTCTAGCAGGAAGGCCAGGAGCCCCTAGTAGCGTCCTTGCTCCTAGTCTGAGGACAAGATAAGTCACCCCAACAGCTGCTTTTGAGTTTACCAAAGAACATAAGCCCAGCGCCCTGGCACCCCAGCTTTCTCCAGCTTCCTCTTGAAGGTCTCGATCGAGGGGCCGAAGACGTAAAGATGATGAGGAGGAGGACGAGGAGATGGCCTCCAACCCAGAAGCGGTGGCCTCCAACTTAATAGCTTCGGAGCGGTTTTGTGGGGTCTCTGCGAAAACAATGTAGACACTTGCCAGATGTGCTGCTGCCAATGGCCAAGTGGTAGGAATACCAAAAGAGACGAGAAGAGGAAAGAAAAAAGAAAGAAGAGGCGGATGCTCTTAAATTGGTGGTAGAGGACGCTACTAGGAGCAAAGGGCATCGCTACTAGGAGCAAGGACGCTGCTAGGGGCTCCTGGCCTTACTACTAGGAGCAAGAACGCTACTAGGGGCTCCTGGCCTTACTACTAGGAGCAAGAACGCTACCGCTAGCAATTGCGCTGCTTTGTTTGGTAAACGATTTGGAGCGTCCAGTTCACTGGACGGAAGAGGCACTTCAGCGGAGAGAAGAGCAGCGACAAAAGGAGGAAGAGGAACAGGACAAGAAGAATATGAACATACCCCACATACCCCTTACATAAAACCTAGTAGCGATGGCCTCCACCCCAGTAGCGATTTGGCCTGACAGCTGATTTGTTATTTTTTGCTGAGTGGAGGAACGGCAAAAGATGGCAGAAGATGCCAAGCGTATGGTGTGAGACTGAGTGGTGATCTTCAGTGTGTCGGAAACCACAGAGACCCAGCTAGCAGCTAGACCATTGGACACCGAAAGAATGGATGACAACTAGAGAGCTTTTTTTTGTTTCTTTGGTTCTTCTCTAACTGGACATCCTCCCCAGATTCACCGCTTGGATGCCGTCGCTACTAGGCTGGAGGCCATTGCTAGTAGGAGCAAGGATGCTACTAGGGGCTCCTGGCATCGCTACTGGGAGCAAGGACGCTACTAGGGGCTCCTGGCATCGCTACTGGGAGCAAGGACGCTATTAGGAGGCCATTGCTCGTTGGCTTTAGCTTCCCAATCTTCCCTGAGGACCGCACCGTGATGGTGGTGGGCCATGATCCCAGAGATCTCGCTGTCGGAGTGGGAGCGACTTTTTAGAGCTCAACAAGTTGACAAGTTCTGATTCACCTTTCTAGTAACAAGAAGCTGCTAGTAGCTCCTGGCATTACTACTATAGTAACAAGAAGCTACTAGTAACAAGGTGCCTTACCACTAATTAGTAGCATAGGCCTGGGTTTTGCACTGTTTGGACCTGCGGGACCCTCCAACTGTCGGACACTTACCGCTGTGCCCTGAGCCCTGAGCCCTGAGGCCTGAGCACACGGGCGGATGAGCGGGATGTCTTTGAGTTCTTCAGCGGCCGTGCTGGAACGGTCCGGGACTGACCACGTCGTGTCAGTCTCAAGGACTCTAGTAGCTTCTTGTTCCTAGTAGCGTTCTTGCTCCTAGTAGCAAGGCCAGGAGCTACTAGTAGCGAACATTGCTCCTAGTAGCGATGCCCTTTGCTCCTAGTAGCGATGCCCTCTTGGAAAGAAAGGAAGGGAAGGTATTCCCAAACGAACATTTCTTCTTCCTTTCTTCTTCCCATTTCCTTCTTCTTCTTCTTCTTCTTCTTTGTTTTTTAGTCTCTTCGTTTGACCCAAAGAAGACAGTCCGCGCTCCAGGTGAAAGATGTGCAGATCATCCGCGACGCCCGGACTGGAAAGTCTAAGGCCGAAATGGACGAGACGAAGAACAGCCCAGCTGAAACGAACGTAGCTTGCCCGAAACTCTTAGCATCCAGCCAATTCTTCCTCTTTCTCCTCCTCTTCTTTCTTCTTCTGCTTTGCGCATGACTCACACAACAAGTGCCACGCCGTGCCACGGTTCGGCAGGGCGTGTGCTTTGTCGAGTTCTCCACTGCCGAGGGGATGGTGAAATCTCTCAGCATGACTGGGCAGGCAGATGCTGAGAATCTTATACCCAAAAGCTGTTGCGGATGCTTTTGGTTGTTTGTAGTGTTCTTTCTTTGTTTCGTTTTATAATTCTTTTTGTCACTCTTCAGGTTTTGTTCTCTGGACATGTTTTTGGAACTCCATGTCGGTGCCATTGTTCACCTGGTTGCCGCCTCGCACGCCAGACCATCAAGGGTGCCCGAGTGCAAGTCCAACAGAGCCAGGTTGCTGAGGGGCGTGGCACCCATGCCAGTCGGGGGAAGTTTTGACCGGTTTTGAACGAAAGACAAGGGCAGTGAGAGTATGGCTCTGTCCGACTACTTGTAACAGCCGGCAATAACTATCACTATTTCAGAGAAAGGCCTTCAACCTAACCGTCATCATCCACTGGTAATGGGATACACCCAAAGTATGGGGATCTGAGAGTTGGAGCTCGGGGTTGGGTCCTGAAACACAACTGAATATTTTTTGAATAAGGCCATTGCTATTAGGTTGGACGACATCGCTATGAAGCTTCGCTATGCAGGTTGGACGCCATCGCTATGAAGGTTGGAGGCCATCGCTATGAAGGTTGGAGGCCATCG